GGGGGGGGGTTGCTGCTAAGGGCAGAAATAACTTTTGGCAACATTGCATTTGAAGGCTTACTCTGCCCATTCTTTCCTGGGCTGTTCTTTCAAACTTCTAGTCATTTTTCTTTTTTCTCCATCTGATAGTTTCCATGAGTGGAGTTTCGTTTAACAATAAAAAACCCAACCATAATGACTAGGTATCTTTGTTTTCCTGAAACATGCACTTTTGAGATGAAAATCCATGTTTTGTATTGTGCAGCAAAGAAGAGAAGAGGATATCTACCCTGGAGCTGCCAGCCAACATGGTGGTCACGTCTCAAGAGAAAACTTCCCGCTCAGACATTGTGACAGAGCCGGTGACCGCGAGCCCCAGCAAAGAGTTGTCCCCCTCGGCACCAGGCTCGCTCGTTGATGGGGGCAGTGAGCGACTTCCTGCCGCGGGGACTGAGGTGATGGAGCGGGTGGAAGAGATGAGTGTAGACGTCAGTGTGGTGGTCAGTGTGGTCCAGGGGGAGGAAGTTGTGGCGGCAGACGGCCTGGACTGTGAGGAGACGGTGGTGTCTTCCTCCGTGCACGGGCAGGAAAAGTGGGCGCAGGAGGGAGCGGTGCAGGTGCAGGAGGGAGCGGTGCAGGTGCAGGAGGGAGGTACAGTACAAGTACAGGAGATAGTGACGAGTGTGGGGACAGCGTCGGAGGAGGAGATAGAGACAAGCGTGGAGCCGGAGGTTGTGCAGGAGGAGATAGAGACCAGCATGGAGCCAGAGGTTGCACAGGAGGAGAGCGTGTCGCTCAGCGGTGGCCCCGACCAGAGCAGCGTGGTGGGTGAGCACGGGCAAGCTGTGACACTACAAACCACTGATGTGTCTGATGTCGCCACTGTCACGCTGCAGACCTCCGACGTGTCGACTGTCACGCTACAGACCTCCAACGTGTCGACTGTCACGCTACCAACCACTGATGTGTCGACTGTCACGCTACAGACCTCCGACGTGTCGACTGTCACACTGCAGACCTCTGACGTTCCCGCTGTGACGCTTGGCGACAGTCAGTTGGTCATCGTGAATGAAGACGGACAAATCAGTTCTGCTGCGTCGGCCGGCCCTCATTCAGCTCGCAGGCCCCACTTGCAGCAGGAGTCGGGCAAAGAGAGTAGTGAGGCTCCGGGAGAACAATTCCAACTAGACACCGAGCACATGACCTTGACAAGAAAAGACGGGCAGCACATGACCTTGACAGGAAAAGATGGGCAGCACATGACTGTCATCGCGTACCCAGCCCCCGGGGAACAGACGTCGGGCGGCTCTGCTCATCTAGAGAGGAAGTCCATACAGGTTGAGAGTGGGCAAGGCCCTGACTGCCAGCAGGTCGGGATACAGGACCAGGCAAACAGCAGTCAGCACGGCTATATTGTGAGGGAGATGCATAATCCCCCCTTTGCCACAGTGCTCACAGAAGACGGAACCACATACCTGAATCTGTCGGTGGAAGCGACAAAAATTTCCAGTATTCTGAAAGAACGTGTGGCTTCGAGTCCTTCCAAGCCCGTCAATCCGGCCAAGGGCCACGGGAGAGTTCTCAAGCCAGAGAACTCGTTCAACATGATTCTGAAACAGGCGATCTCTCCAGCTGCTCACACGGCCACTGCCACCCCCCAGGTGAAGAAACCAGGACAGAGTTACTCCCTCCTGACCCCCGGTCCTGCGAGTGTTGCTGGCGAGAAGAAAGATTCGGAGACGGTGACAACAAATGGCGGCCATGTTGGAGTAGCTTTGCATGGCTCCATCCAACCGCCTCGGAGCGGTGGCTCGCCCCACAATGTGTTGATCTTGTCTCCCCCGTGTTCTACAAGCTCTGCCGCTGTACAGGAGGCTCAGGCCGGGGTCTCTGTGGCCGGACAGCACGGCCAGGCCGGGGTCTCTGTGGCTGGACGGCACGGCCAGGCCGGGGTCTCTGTGGCCGGACGGCACGGCCAGGTGGTCAGGGAAGAGGCGGAGGTTGTGAAAGAGACGCCAGCGGCCGGTCCAGGTGCTGCTGCCCCTGGCTCAAGTGGCCCCACCGTCATTCGCATCACCAAACTGCCTCTGGGATCGGAAACAGCCGCGGTAGAGGAAGTTGTCGAGAAGGCTGGGAGTCCACAACTCAAGTCTGTGGTCATTCCTGGGAAGCTGACCGATGCAAATCCCAAAACGGCGTCGGAAATCTTGATACAGCGCTTCAAAGAACAGCGCAAGTTTATCATTAAAGAGTCTGCAAACACAGACAAGCTTATTCATGAGTCAAGTGCTAGCGCAGGTTCTGTGAAACAACAGGACTCTGGTGGCAGGAAGTCGGAGGTAGGTCCCTCCCCCTCGCTAGCGTCTCCCCAAGCACTGACCACCGTGTGCGACCATGCCTACACGGGGAGCCACACCCAGGGGCCGTCGGCTGAGGTGGCCGGCGAGACGAGTGACGCGGGGACTCAGCTTGTTGAAGAACCTGCTGGTGATAAGACGGAGGCCGGAGTAGAGGAACCCGAACCACCGGCGTCTGGCCCGGCTGACGCCTCAGAGCAGGGCACGGAGCTGTACGAGAACACAGCAGTCGCTGAGTCCTCAGAACTGTCGTCTGTGACAGAGAATGTGCTGGCTTTAGAGCCCGGCGTGGCGGAGGTTGTCGCTGTGGTCAAAACTGAACCCCAGGAGGAGGAAGTGTCGCTGCAGGAGGATGAGAGGAAGGAAGTGTCGCTGCAGGAGGATGAGAGGAAGGAAGTGTTGCTGAAGGAGGATGAGAGGAAGGAAGTGACGGAGAAGGATGAGATTGTCACGGGGAAGCTGGAGAACTTGGGAAAGGTCCGGATCTTGGACAACGGCGTGGAGTATGAGGTGAAGATTGTGTCGGACGGGGAAGTGCTGGTGGAGAGTGACCAGGTAACTAGTACTTTTGTTGTTTGCTCCATTTTACCTTCTCTTGATCGGAGAAGCTCTGCTCGTATTTTTCTTTGCTTCTGTTTTGTCCTGAAGTACAGCTGTCATCTGGTCTGTTGGTGTGTTTGTTTGTTTGTCCTGAAGTACAGCTGTCATCTGGTCTGTTGGTGTGTTTGTTTGTTTGTCCTGAAGTACAGCTGTCATCTGGTCTGTTGTTGTGTTTGTTTGTTTGTCCTGAAGTACAGCTGTCATCTGGTCTGTTGGTGTGTTTGTTTGTTTGTCCTGAAGTACAGCTGTCATCAGGTCTTGCATGACTGAGGTATTTGTCCTCAAGTACAGCTGTCATCAGGTCTTGCATGACTGAGGTATTTGTCCTCAAGTACAGCTGTCATCAGGTCTTGCATGACTGAGGTATTTGTCCTCAAGTACAGCTGTCATCAGGTCTTGCATGACTGAGGTATTTGTCCTCAAGTACAGCTGTCATCAGGTCTTGCATGACTGAGGTATTTGTCCTCAAGTACAGCTGTCATCAGGTCTTGCATGACTGAGGTATTTGTCCTCAAGTACAGCTGTCATCAGGTCTTGCATGACTGAGGTATTTGTCCTCAAGTACAGCTGTCATCAGGTCTTGCATGACTGAGGTATTTGTCCTCAAGTACAGCTGTCATCAAGTCTTGCATGACTGAGGTATTTGTCCTCAAGTACAGCTGTCATCAGGTCTTGCATGACTGAGGTATTTGTCCTCAAGTACAGCTGTCATCAGGTCTTGCATGACTGAGGTATTTGAGCCTCCTGTTTCTGTTCTTAGCAAGCCCCATACTTTACACTGTCTTTAGGTCATTCCCAAAGGGGGGACTTAATGCACAGTAGAATTGTAAATGGGCTGATTCATCAATGTCATGCTCACAACTGTGCCTCAACAGCAACAGGGAGCTGCTGCTTTTTCTTTCCTCATCCTTACTATCGTCATTTTTTCCGCTACTTCTTTTGTATGTTTGTCACTCTCTTGTGACCCGCTATTTCCGGGGTGCCTTGATAGTTGAAGGAGACTTTGTGCTGTTGAAGCAAGAGAGGTGGGCAGAGTAAGTCTGATTCCCTGTAAGGACTTCTCTGTTGACACCCACTCCTTGGCGCTCATATGACCTTATGCAGTTGTGAGCGCCCTAAAACCTCTACTAAAACTAAAGTAAAATACTTACCACGCTGTATTAAGTTCTGTCATGACACTTTCATCCATGAGTTTGTTTGTAAATTGGACCCAAAGCAGTCCCGTCTAGACAACCACATTTCTGCTGCTTACTTGTGCTGTTTTTATCTTCCTTTCTAAATGCCCAGACAGAACCACAGGCCCTAGTAGCCTTTTCAAAACTCCAATGATGAATTCTCTGGCCCTGTCCTTCCAAATGACATATGTTTATCTCCATGCTTTAATTGAAAGCATAAATTAAGACCACTGTACCTTTTTTTTCCTAATATTTTCCTGCGTTCCATTCCCTGTGTCAGACTGCTGCCCCGAGTGGAGCGGGAGATCTCCGTCTGAAGCAACAAGTGCTGGAGGAGGAACAGGTGGAGCTGGCAGAGACCACCACGGGGGAACACACCGGGGACAGCGGGAAGTCAGTGCTATACCGTAGCTACAACTGAAGAATGTGCCAATGGATTTTTGTGAATCTTGCCAAGCACCAAAATATCCTTCATAAAATGTTCTTGGAAAACTTTTGAGTTGGGGGTGGAGGGGTGTTAAAGTTAAAGACATTTTTTATCCATCCAAATACACAATGTACAAAACTGCACTGGTCACAATCAGACTTGTTCTTGTTTTATTGAACTTTCCAATGTCTTGCTTCACTCACATTCTCTGCTCAAGATCAGGAAAGCTAAGAAAACTTTCGTACCCAAAGGGGATTTCCCAACTGTGGAATTGGTTGCTTTTGAGCACAAGGGGCTATCCCGAAAAATACTCTTTTGAGAAAATCAAAGGTAAAGTTTTTGTCCCTTGTTCAGTTTCTTTAAAAGACAAGGAGAGTTTTCTCTATAACCAAACAAATATACACACCAATGAAACCAAACTTCTCCTTTAGGTAGGGCAATGCACACTTTTGGTGTAGGTCAAGATTTCTGGAAACCCCCGAAATTTGGGTTAGCCCGCTTGTCCTTAAAAGCGCCCAATTGTTCCTGCAAGTATTCCTAATCTCCTATCCATCTATCTGAGTGTACATAGACAGGTAATCCTAATCTCCTATCTATCTGAGTGTACATAGACCAGTAGTCCTAATCTCCTATCTATCTATCTGAGTGTACATAGACAGGTAATCCTAATCTCCTATCTATCTGAGTGTACATAGACCGGTAATCCTAATCTCCTATCTATCTATTTGAGTGTACATAGACCAGTAATCCTAATCTTCTATCTATCTATCTGAGTGTACATAGACCAGTAATCCTAATCTCCTATCTATCTATCTGAGTGTACATAGACAGGTAATCCTGATCTCCTATCTATCTATCTGAGTGTACATAGACCGGTAATCCTAATCTCCTATCTATCTGAGTGTACATAGACCGGTAATCCTAATCTCCTATCTATCTGAGTGTACATAGACCGGTAATCCTAATCTCCTATCTATCTGAGTGTACATAGACAGGTAATCCTAATCTCCTATCTATCTATCTGAGTGTACATAGACAGGTAATGCTAATCTCCTATCTATCTGAGTGTACATAGACAGGTAATCCTAATCTCCTATCTATCTGAGTGTACATAGACCAGTAATCCTAATCTCCTATCTATCTATCTGAGTGTACATAGACAAGTAATCCTGATCTCCTATCTATCTGAGTGTACATAGACAGGTAATCCTAATCTCCTATCTATCTGAGTGTACATAGACAGGTAATCCTGATCTCCTATCTATCTATCTGAGTGTACATAGACAGGTAATCCTAATCTCCTATCTATCTATCTGAGTGTACATAGACAGGTAATCCTAATCTCCTATCTATCTATCTGAGTGTACATAGACAGGTAATCCTAATCTCCTATCTATCTATCTGAGTGTACATAGACCGGTAATCCTAATCTCCTATCTATCTGAGTGTACATAGACCGGTAATCCTAATCTCCTATCTATCTATCTGAGTGTACATAGACAGGTAATCCTAATCTCCTATCTATCTATCTGAGTGTACATAGACCAGTAATCCTAATCTCCTATCTATCTGAGTGTACATAGACCAGTAATCCTAATCTCCTATCTATCTATCTGAGTGTACATAGACCAGTAATCCTAATCTCCTATCTATCTATCTGAGTGTACATAGACCAGTAATCCTAATCTCCTATCTATCTATCTGAGTGTACATAGACCAGTAATCCTAATCTCCTATCTATCTGAGTGTACATAGACCAGTAATCCTAATCTCCTATCTATCTATCTGAGTGTACATAGACCAGTAATCCTAATCTCCTATCTATCTGAGTGTACATAGACAGGTAATCCTAATCTCCTATCTATCTATCTGAGTGTACATAGACCAGTAATCCTAATCTCCTATCTATCTATCTGAGTGTACATAGACCAGTAATCCTAATCTCCTATCTATCTGAGTGTACATAGACCAGTAATCCTAATCTCCTATCTATCTATCTGAGTGTACATAGACCGGTAATCCTAATCTCCTATCTATCTATCTGAGTGTACATAGACAGGTAATCCTAATCTCCTATCTATCTATCTGAGTGTACATAGACCGGTAATCCTAATCTCCTATCCATCTACCTGAGTGTACATACACAAGTAATCCTAATCTCCTATCCATCTACCTGAGTGTACATACACAAGTAATCCTAATCTCCTATCCATGTATCTGAGTGTAGCTATATGTACAGTTGTTTTGTTCACTGTTCCTCAGACAGACGTCCAGCACCCAGACGGTGTACACCTCTGCGGGAGAAGTGCTGAAGAAACAAGTGTTTACAGCCAACTCGGGCCCCATCCACAAACTGGCCACTGTGGTCAACGAGGACGGCCAGAAGAGACAGTACTACTACGTGTCCGTTGTCCCCAACAAGAAGTTTGACGTCAAGTTCAAGGCCCCTAGTGTAAGTTTGCCCCACGGAACAACAAAGTCCACATGGGGGGGGGGGGGTACTTTGTGTATGTGAGTTGTTTTGTCCCTCCCTCCGGGATGCCATTTGTCCCTCCCTCCGGGATGCCATTTGTCCCAGGGTTTTTGGTTGTTGTTATTTTCATTGTCTCCACTGAAATCCATTTTCCAAAGATTTATTATTTTCAGCGTTTCTTTCTGTGTACCACCATGTTTGTAAATGAAAATGTGTAAATTTTCAGCTGTTTTCACAAAATTACAGTGGCATCCCTGTTTTCTCTTGGGGGGGGGGGGGAATAGTTATAGTGCTGTTACTTTGTCACGGATCTGATTGTTTGTCGTTTGTGCTGATAAAATGACCCACTTTGAGCGCCCAGCACAGTTGAAATGGCCAGTGGATGGTCATCATTTCTGCTGACAGATCGTTTACACTTACTGTTTGATAGATAACCAAGTCGGAGAACTTCTGTGTCTAATTTCCAGTCCATTCTTCTTGGGCGTGAATTATCGTTTTGTTTTGGTTCTCTTTGATGTTGTCAGTTCCAGCTTTGAGTTTTTCCTCTTAGTTTTGCTGCTTGTAATCATGTGTTCTACCTTGATTGGATCATTCCTTTCTTCTGTTTTCTGTGTTCTACCTTGATTGGATCATTCCTTTCTTCTGTTTTCTGTGTTCTACCTTGATTGGATCATTCCTTTCTTCTGTTTTCTGTGTT